AAAAATACGAATTATAAGCCTCTTCACCTTGCAATCAAAATCTGCTGCACCCTGTATTTTGAGTTCAAAGGAGACAGGCAAATATTATTGTTGTTATTCTTTTTAAAGCTGCAAACTATCCATCAGAGGATGAAAATCTCCCTGGGAGGGGAGAGAAAAAGGAAGGTTGACAATTAAATATTATTTTTAAATAGGTCAAGGTCTTGCAAAGGCTTTGGTTATAACCTCTACAGTCCCCAGGTGGCGCCGTTGCCCTCTTCTGCCCAAGCATCCCACTGTGGTTTCTGCTATGAGTTTTTCCCGAATCTTTTTTTTTTTTTTTTTTTGAGGACTGTGTGGGTGTGTGGATGTGTGGGTGTGGGTGTGCCAATCCATAGGCATGGTTAGGGGTGGGGTTTTTGAGACTGGATCAGTCCAAGAGGCCAGATTGGAGGGGTGGGCGGGAGAGGCCTCATTCTCAGAACCTTTTTTTAAAATAAATAATTTTATTACCATATTTTATTAGATAGGATTCTCTCTTTATTAGTTTTTTTTAATATATATATATAAATATATATATGGGGGGAGAGCTTGTAAAACCGGGCATAACTTTTTTAAACAACTGCCTTGCTTAGGCAATGTTACAAGTTTGAACAGCCGTGAAATCCAATGGTCATATGTCGAAGATTATCTGTACAGAATGTTCTTCAGGCTAAATTGCATTTTCAGGCTGCACGTTCTTCGTGCTAATTGCACTTTTTTCCCCCGCCATGAAAATAAAATCTGTGGGGACCAGTGGCACCTCCCATCAGCAAGATTGACAAAAATCAATCAGTGACTATTATTAAGTGTTGTACCTGATGATTCTTGACTCTTGACAAATGTATCTTTTCTTTTTATGTACACTGAGAGCTTATGCACCAAGACAAATTCCTTGTGTGTCTAATCACACTTGGCCAATAAAAGAATTCTATTCTATTCTATCAAATTGCTGGAAGTGTATACAAGAATGGGGCACATACATGGTGAGTTTGCAAAAAAAAAAAAAAAAAAAACCAACAACATGAGTTTTGGTTTAGGATTTGGATATGGTTAGAAGAAATGATGGGACTAAAAATAGATTATAAACCAGAATTTTTTTTTTTATTGGGAATTATGTCAAAGATAGCAAAGAAGAGACCTATTTAATAATCCATGTTATTATAGTGGCAAGAATGGTGTTTGCCCAAAGAATAACTTACGAACAGAATTGGAAAAATGATAGCATGCCACCAAAGGAAAATGTGATAAAAAAGATACTAAAGTGTTTCAAGGTGGATAAGTTGACCATGGAGATAAAGGAAAGAGAGGAAATAGAATATTATTTGATGTGGAATGTATTGTATAATTGGCTAAATAATAGATATAGAGATGAATAGAGAAGACGACAATAGAATAATAAGATAAAAGTTATAGTGGACAAAGATAGATTAAGGAATATAAACAAACGTATAGATAGTCAAGGTTTATGTAAAAGTATGTATACCATCACAGAAGCATTGTAATGAATGGAAATGGTGTATATAAGAAAAATTGTTTAATAGTTTTTTTTAAAAAAAGAAATGCAAGGCGAGAAAAATCCCAAGTGAAGATGAAGCAATAAATAAGATCTTGTTATGCACTGAAATGGATAGAATGACTTTAGAGATGAAAAGACAAGGAGAATATTACACAATTTGAAATAAATTTTTATCATTGGTGGGGAAGGAAAGGGAGGACTCAAAATGAAAAAGAGAAATAGGATTTATAGAAGGTATATATTCGAGATGCTGTGGATAAACGAAAACTGAGGATATCAGATGGTGTATTAAAGGAAAATTAAATGTCAAAAGACTCAGTATGTAGAAATGTATATAAGAAATATATGTTATAAGATGTAAGACAAAAAGATACGTCAAATATGATTTCGCCATGTTCAATGTTTTTAAATCATATATTTGATAAAATTTGTAAAAAAAATAAAATAAAATCTGTGGGGATTTGCTGAACCACCATGGCAAAAAGATGGTGCAACCCATTTAATAACCACTAGGCTTAGTGATGGAAACTTTTCCACACCCTGTTGTGTCTTCACTAAAAGTACGGTCGTAAGTCAGAGGACTAACCGTAAGTCCATTTTCTGTACATGTCCTTTTGTCTCTCACTGGAAAACCTGTATTCCCATTCATTTCCCCGCCCCGCCCCCCACACACACACACTGCATTTAAACATGAGCCAGCCGTGTGTGCCAGCTGCCAAAAAAAGCTAATACGATCCTGGGTTGTATAAGCAGAGGCATAGAATCAAAATCACGTGAAGGATTAGTACCACTTTGTAAAGCCTTAGTAAGGCCACACCTGGAATCCTGCATCCAGTTTGGGTCAACACATTACAAAAAAAAAAAAAAAAGATTTTGAGACTTTGGGGGGGAAATGCAGAGAAGGGCAACTAAGAGGATTAAAAGGCCTAGAGATTAAAACGTAGGAAGAAGAACGGTTGCAGGATTTGGCTTTGGCTAGCTAGAGAAAAGAAGAATTAGGGGAGATACGGTAACAATCTTCCAGTATTTGGGGGGCTGCCCCAAAGAAGAGGTGGGGGCACCTATTCTCTAAAGCCCCTGAATGAAGGACAAGAAACAACAGGTGGAAACTAACCAAGGAGAGAAGCAACCTGGAATTAAGGAGAAACTTTCTAACCGTGAGGACTGCTTGCCACCAGAAATTGTGGGTGCTCCATCACTGGAGGTTTTGAAGAAGAAATTGGACAGCCACCTGTCTGAAATGGTATAGGGTCTCCTGCTTGAGCAGGGGGCTGGACTAGATGACCTCCAAAGTCCCTTCCAGCTCTATTCAGACAGAGAGAGAGAAAAAAAAAACAAGTTGAATTTCTTTTTTAAAAAAGCAGAGCTCTACTTCCCAAACGGTGAACAAATTTTTGACCTGAAAATAAATAAATAAATAAAAAACATTTTCAAAGTTAAACCTAATTGCTCTCCAAACATGTCTGTCTTCCTGTCATAACTGGAAAAGATCCATGGGGCTTTGATCTCCCAGCCCAAAGCCATGTGCACTCAGCAGATTGTAAGCGTCCTGCCTGGATGTTGGGTAGGTTGCTTCTTTGGAAAAGTACCAAGAAGGTCAGTGGATTTAGGTCAGTTGAATTACAGAGCTTGTGTTCCCCTCATCTCTGTCCACACCTGTTTTGGGTGCCAGTCTGGCTCATGCAGCAGGAAAATTAATGAGAAGAGAAAAGAAGAAGAGAAGAGAATTGAGAACAGAATAAAGTAAAAAGAGAACAGAAAATAGAAGCAAACAGAATTGAGAATACAATAGAATACAAGAGAAGAGAGAAGTGAACAGAATTGAGAAGAGAATAAAGTAGAACAGCACAGAACAGAAGATGGAAGAGAACAGAATTGAGAATAGAATAGAACAGAAAAGAGAAGAAAATAAAGTAGAAGAGAACAGAACAGAAAATACAAAAGAACAGAATTGAGAATAGAACAGAAAACAAAAAAGAAAATAGAATTCAGAATTAGAAGAGAAAATAGAAGAGAACAGAATTGACAATAAAATAGAGTAAACTAGAATACAATAGACTAGAAGAGAAGAGAAGATAAAAAAGAAGTGAACAGGATTGAGAACAGAATTGAGAATAGAATAGAACAGAAAATAGAATAGAATTCAGAATTAGAAGAAAAATAGAAGAGAAATGAGAATGCAATAGAAGAGAAGAGAAAAGAGAAGTGAATATAATTGAGAAGAGAATAGAGTAGAGTAGAAAATAAAATAGAATAAAGTAGAACAGAAAACCTGTTTTCTGTTCTGTTCTACTTTATTCTATTCTCTTTTTAGAACAGAACAGAATTGAGAACAGCACAGAACAGAATAGATGAGATGTCGAGTTATTTGTGAAAATAATACAAATAGTCTTTGACTTTACGGCCACAATTGTGCCCAAATTTTATGTTGCTAAGGAAGACATTCATTAAGGGAGTTTGGCCCCGTTTGACCACTTTTCTAGCCCCCCGCTGTTAAGTGAATCGCTGCCATTGTTAAATGAGTCACATGGTCATTAAGTGGATCTGGTTTCCCCGTGGACTTTGCTGGCCGGAAAGTCGCCAAATGGGATCACACGACTCGAGGGCCCTATGTCCGTCATAAATATGATCCAGATGCCAACAGTCTTCCTTCCTCTCTCTCAATCTCATCTCCTTCCTTCCTTTATCTCTATCTTGTGTCCTTCCTTCCTTCCTTCCTTCCTTCCTTCCGTCCTCTCTATCTTATGTCCTTCCTTCCTTCCTTCTTTCCTTCCTTCCTTCCTCTCTATTTTGTAACCTTCCTTTCTTCCTTCCTTCCTTCCTTCCTTCCTTCCTTCCTTCCTTCCTTCCTTCCTTCTTTCCTCTCTATCTTATGTCCTTCCTTCCTTCCTTCCTTCCTTCCTTCCTTCCTCTCTATTTTGTAACCTTCCTTCCTTCCTTCCTTCCTTCCTTCCTTCCTTCCTTCCTTCCCAAGCACAGGCTGACTCTGCCCACTACTAGCAGTTCGATCCTGACCAGCTCCAGGTTGACTCAGCCTTTCCATCCTTCCTTCTAAGGTTGGGTAAAAGGAGGAGCCAGATTGTTGGGGGCAAGAGGCTGACTCTGTAAACTGCTTAGAGGGGGCTGTAAAAGCCCTGTTAAGCGGTGTATAAGTCTAAAGGCTTATTGCTCTTGCTATATAAATAAAGAAATAAATAAACCAAAAACGGGTTTGTGCAACTAGGAGCGGGCGGCTCTTTCTTTTGAAGCCAAACCAGCCAATGGAGACCCGGGCTGCCTCCAAATCTCATTTCTCGCCCAAGGCGTGGGAGACATGGCTATAATTCATCCGCGGTAGGTGTGTGGCCGTGTAAGCCTTCCTGGGGAGGAGTTGCTTGCGATGTCTCAGCCCGTCGAAAGCACCAGCTCGCCAGAAACCTTCCTTGCCTGGTTGCGTTCTGAGCTCACTGCGCCGGATCCCCAAATGCCGACCTATAAAGTTTCGGTGGCCACCGGCGACATGATCTTAGCTGGCAGCTACAGCACCATTTCCATCACTCTGGTGGGCGAGCGGGCAGAAAGCGCCAAGCAGCGCCTGGACAAGCTGGGGAAAGATTTCGTCCCCGGAGCTGTGAGTATCCGGAGAGGAAGGGCTTCGAAAGGGGTTCCGCCAGGGGGTGGTGACGGGGGGGCGGGCGGGAGGTGTCCTTGGGGCTCTCTGAGCAGGCTGGTTTTCTCCCAGACGTCCCGTGAGCAGGCTAGGGGACATCATCAGGGCTGGGAGCGAGTGGGGTGTGTGGAGAAGGAGATGGAGGAGGAGGAAAAGAAGGAGAAGAGGAGGAGGAGGAAGGAGAAAAGAAGGAGAAGAGGAGGAGGAGGAGGAGGAGGAGGAGGAGGAGGAGGAGGAGGA